GGCTGGCCTGGAACTGTATCTAGAGCAGGCTGGCTTGAACTCACAGAAGTCTGCTCACCTCTGCTTCCCTTTGATCCTGCTTGGATCGCAAGTGTCCAAGGTGGGGAGAGACTCATGTCTCTTCTCGGGCAGGGTGCATTTGCATCTGTTAAGAAGGTACAGTAGCTAATCAGTGCCATGACAAAGGAGAAAAGCCACTGCGGTTGGGTATTGCTGGGAAAATGAGTTGTTTCAGTTAATCAAGAAGAATTTTGAGCACTTCCTGTTAGAAAACTCAGGTGGAGGCAGAGTTAGCTGTGGGGTTATGGTTTCTCCTCCACTATGGAACCCACTTCCTGAGAGAGTGTGGCAGCTAGGAAGTCTGACCAAGAAATAGGAAACAGTGACAGATTATACAGAAGCCATCAGGCAGATTTGACCTGTGAGTTAGTCATATCTGGTTTCGCTCTCGCTCACATATGTGTGTGTGTGTGTGTGTGTGTGTGTGTGTGTGTGTAGGCCAGAGGTTGGTGTCAGGTGTCTTTTTCCAGACCTCTGTACTCTGTCTTTTGAGACACTGAGTCCAGAGCTCCCCAGTTGGCCAGGCTGGCTGGTTGGATTTGCTTCTCCCCACACCCCTGGAATTGGGTCAAGCACATGCGCCTGGCTTGTCCCGTGGGTGTCCGGGAATCTGAACTCAGGTCTTCATGCTTGCACAGTAAATGTTTTATGGACTGAGCCGTCTCCTGTGAACTGTAGGTGTGCTCGAACAGGAACATGATCGAGACAAACGAAACTGCTTGAAATCCAAGTGAGAAGAGGGAGGGCCAGGCCTTAGCCCTGAGCAGAGAGGCTCCGACTACCGAGCTCCAGGAGTCACCAGTCATACCTTGTCCCGTCCGTCTCTGTGTGCAAATTTTTTTCACTGAGACAAAAATCTCAACTCAGGTCGGCCCCAAACTCAAGATCTTCCTGCGCCCCTTCCAAGTTTCATTCCCCTTCCTACGCTTCCCATTTCCCGTTTATGTTTTCTCTTTTCTTCCTCTTATTTTTGGAGACAGTCTCATTATGGAGCCCTGGTTGGCTGAGAGCTCAGTGTATATATAGACCAGGTTAGCCCCCAGACTCGTGGGCAATCCTCCTGCCCCGGCTTTTGGAATGCTGGGATTGCAGGCATGTGCGGCCACGCCCAGCTGACCCTTCTTTTGTTGACAGGTTTTGTTTTATATGGTCTGCCGTGTTTACCTGTCTTACTGTCTTGTCACTTGGGGTTCCCTTCTTTGTGGTTCCACAGCGTGTATGTTAAGCTAAAACTAGGCTGAGAGGTAGCTCAGCAGTTAAGAGCACTGACTGCTATTGTCGAGAACCTGGGTTTGATTCCCAGCACCAACATGGTGGCTCACAACCCTCTGTAACTTCAATTCCAGGGGACCCAGTGCCCTCTTCTGGCTTCCATGGGTACTGCACACATGTGGTGCAAACTTACACTGAGGCGCACACTCATACAACAAAGCTAAAACAAACAAAAAGACAACAGTCCTAAACTGTTATTTATTTACTATTCCAACAGCATCTCATCCAACAGTTTTTTGGTTCTTGGGGACAGTGAACACTGAATTACCCTTCCTCACGACCCCTAGACACAGAAGCACTGGCTGAGAGCTAGGCATGGTGGTGCATCCTGTTTGTAATCCAAGCCCTTGGGAAGTGGAGACAGGAAGATCAGGAGGTCTAAGATAACCTGAGCTACCTGAGACCTTGCCTCAAAAATAAGCAAACAAAAAATCCCCGACAGGCAGGCAGGCAGGCAGACAGACAGATAGACAAACCTCCAAACAAATAGAAGTATTCATTGACCAGAATCTTGTCACTTTGTCTTCCAGAGGACCCAGGTTCAATTCCTGCACCCACATGTCAGTTCACAACTCTCTTAACTCCAAGATCTGACGCCTTCATGCAGACATACATGTAGGCAAAACATTAATGCACATAAAATAAAAATAAATAAATTATTAAAAGTGTGTGTGTGTGTTTGCGTGCATGCACACACACATGCCATGACATGCATGTGCCAGTCCGAAGACAACCTTGTGGATTTGATTCTGTCTTACCTCTGCATGGGTTCCAGGGATAACTCAGGTCATCAGCCTTGTGTGGCGAGTACTTCATCCACTGAGCCATCCCACCAGCTCTAATTCTAGTTTTTCTGGTGGACGTTGCTAACTCTATTTCTTCATGTCTTACAGGTGAAGCACCAAATCCTTCATCATGTCGGATGGGGATTATGATTACCTCATCAAGTTTTTGGCCTTGGGAGACTCTGGAGTGGGGAAGACCAGTGTACTTTACCAGTATACAGATGGGAAATTCAACTCCAAATTCATCACCACAGTGGGCATTGATTTCAGGGAAAAGAGAGTGGTAAGTTCTACATCCTTCCTAAGAATCTAATCTGAGTCAGCACATTAATAGGCCTATTTAGTTTGCTTTGTAGGACTTAAGAAACCA